ACATTTAATTCATAAATCTACGTTGATTCGAGGCACCAGGTATTTTAACAATGCTATAACATTGTTACCTGAGTATAAGAAAATATTAATTTAATTATTTATATTCTAGACCGCCGTCACTAGGCCTTTAAGAAATTATTAGGTGGCTGCACCATCGAAAAGGACAGAAGAAATATTATATACGCAATGCTCATGGTGTAATCGATAGATAAGTGTGAGAGGGTAGTGTGGGCACTGCCATTGAACTGCAACAATAAAGCGTGCGGCATTATGAAATCAACCTACAAATCGAATTAGAACTAAAATATAAATTTTGCCCTTCTGGTAGACGTTATTTATATATTATGTAGTAGAATCGTCAAGTAAGGTTGGGGAAAAGGTTTCTTTTCATTCTATAAGAAAACCCAGGGAAGTTTTTTCATAACAATATTTGTTCTGTTTTGTACGATCACTTTTGGCATTTTCGAAGTATTGACATGATTCCGTGTTAGCGTTGTCAATCCTCTCTTTGTGTTAATCTGACACTTAATATACTAATAATTTATTTTATTATTAAAAACATATACAAAGTAGTTACATATGACAAATGATTAAATGTAACTACTTGACTTTGACTAAATATATGAACTTAACGTGATGAGCACACTGGGTCAAAATGTCACACATTGTCAAAAAATTGTTAAAGGACCGGAGAAAATCTAAAGGTTATTAAAGCGATGTCAGGGCTATAAAAATATTAGATAAAAAAACCTCGCAGTTAAACCATCAAAATAATGTAAAATCAAGAAATATTCAAGCGAAAGGTATATAAGACGCTTTCACACATTCCATTGAATGTCGATAATCCGAGTATAATATTCCCAAGAGATCACGATGGGTAATATCGCTTGAATATTAACCCGCTTTATTGAGAATCATTACATCTCAAGTTTTCATAGGATTTGGAAGGAGGTAATAATATTCCCATAGAGTAATTGAGTGCTGATGTTCAAGTTTACGGATCATAAGATCGTAACCTGGAATTCAAGATTATTATGCAAGCCATATGGGATTAAAGACTAGAAAAATATAAGAATACTATCTGACCCGGCAAACGTTTGGTTTGCCATGTATATTATTTCCAGGAAAATTTTTTTAGTTCAATAAAAATAAATATCTACAATAATAAAACATAGGGGTTGGTCGTAGAGGGGTGAAAATTCCCTAATTTTCATTGTATGTGTTATTCTATGTATCTTAAAAAAACAAAAAAATATCTAAAAAGTAAAACTAAAAGTTTGGGGTTAACACCTCTTATCACTTAGGACTTTGAAAGATGGAAGCAGATATGTGAATAGTTTCGGGCGATAAAATATATTGTAGTCGGGCTTCCAGGCTGTCTTGCATTGCTTGATTTTTAAAGATAAAATACCTTTTATCATAGTTACCGACATAAAGTTTATGCCGATAATAAATATTACCGACGCTACTATTTTACTGACTCCTAACAACCCCTACAGCACTTCGCAGGACGGGGTTTTGATTTACTTCTATGTGTTCTTATTCTATAATTGTTGATGTAACAGCGGTGCTAGCGAATAGGTTAAGTATGCAATTTTCAAACCTGCAGTTGTGGATGTAAATATCTTTCATCTACGTATTTTTGTAGTATAAATTATTAATGGTATATTTACACTTCAGTAGCTTGCACAGAATAAAACAATTAACAAGGACTTGCAAATAATCGGTCTCTTACAGCTCCGTGTTGAGCGTAACACAGAGACGTGCAAAAAAAGTTAAGTATTAATACACATTCCAATCCAACCCTTTAATTACCGGAGTTAAACACACATACGAGGTAAAATTATTACACGTACTTTACCAATCATTACATGAAGCATAATTAATGACATTACAGTAAAAGCGAAACTAGTCACAGTAACTTGTTCCGCCCTTATTTCCGCCCAAGCCATTAGGCGGGCTAGTGCAAAGTTTACCTTGTTTACCTCATACAACAAAACTGCTCTTCGTTCGAATTAGTTTTTATTAAAAAAATACAATTATATAAAGCTTTTTATCATTAAATATTATTAATTAATAGTTTATCATGTTTTTTTATTTATTTTGACTCATTTTGAATAATGTTTCATTTTTATAAATATTTAACGATGTTATAGTTTGATCAGCAAAAGTAACGTCACCGTTTATTTTGCGTCCGCCTGTCTGTCCTTATGTTTTAAAAACTGATACAGGGATATATAGATTATTATATATATTATAGCCATATATACAACATAGATTCGGCGTAGAACAGCTATTATTCATGTTAAATCTAATTGGAAGATGCACTGCATAACGATTGAGGTTTCATTTAATGTCGAATTCCTATTTCAAAAGTGCTTCGAAAAAAATGCACACAGCTTGCACTGTTAATTTTGACAGTGATATGAAATTGCAATATAGGCAGAGAGCCAAATAGACAAACGAAAGTACTATTTAATATAAAAAATAGCTCGAAAGCCATATTGGACTGTCGAACAATCTTCTTAATAGTATTTTATTACAAAAAAATGTTAATAGAGAAAGTTTCACAGATGACTGGTGAGTGGTGACAGCTGCTGACGCCGGAGCAAAAGTGTTATTATGCCCATATTTTTACAAATATTCGTACAATTCATTTAATGATAATCCCAGATTAAACGTATGGATATGATATTCAAACCGCAATGGAAATGTGACATAAGCTGATTTTCGTGTTCTGAGTAATGAAAACAGGTTAATTAACCTATAATTAATTTCATAACGAAACAATGGTTATAACCAAAAACGTTTTAAAACGTATTATGCTAATAGTTATTTTACATAACACCTCTTTTTATTCATTTTCCGCTTTTTACGAAGATTCTCAAATTAGTAAATCCATAATATTTATATCACAACTGGTTGACAGTGACATATTCATCACAGATTTAGTAGACGTAACTAAAAGACAAAATGAAAATACTATTCTTGTCAACTGTCCCTTTCTTTTCTCCTTTCATTATCTACTCCCTGCGCCCGCGCCATCTAGTTTGCAAAAGACTGAACCCAAGAAGACGTGTCTTACATAAAATACAATTAACGCCTTTGTCTACATCAAATGCGTGCGAAGCCGATCGACATTCTTGGTAAACAAGAAGCAGACTATATATATATAATGTTTCTATGTTTTGTGTAATTATTTTTTGTGTCCTTAAATACAAATCGTGCAAATAAACTAATTTTACAAAATAAAATTCATAAAAAAAACTCTGACCAAAACCACGACCGTAACCGTTTAGATCAGATCGTATATTAATATATTAATTTAACAATTCAATTTAATTTACTAAATTTAATTTTTATTTTTTATATATTTATATCTTAGTTATATATTAGGCTTTTTTTATTTAATTTTATTTTTATTCTTTTATGTTTTTTGGACAACATAAAAAAACTTTTCTTTTTTTGTTTTTTATAAACTATGCTTTAAATATGAAAGTGAGCTTAGATAATGCTACATGATACATAAATATGACCATGGTTACTAATATTGTCTATGATTGATGCAAGTTCCTCAGTTTTAAAGGTTTATAAACACGTGTGTACAGCTTGCCAGACAGTGGACTGTGGAATGTGTATTTAAATTCATATGTTATCAGTCTCGCTTAAATTTCATTGCTTGTGGCGGCGTCCATGCGTCGGGTTGTCTCTCTCCCTCGTTCTGCTTTTGTTACACACTCCCTCTAGAGGGTGTGTTTAAGCCCTTCGGGCTATGCCCCTTCGGGTGGACTGATTTCTCGCCCTTAATACAGGGCGGTACGGGGTCGAGGTTTCTCCTCTTGGGGCTGCACCGCAAGAGCGTTGCTCAACTCCTGCGCGCAGCCGATGGGGTCTATTCCGGGGTGTCAGGTCCGGTGGTTTGGGGCCAAGAGTATTCTCGACTTGGCCCTGGTGTCTCAATGGTTGGTATCGGGCAGCTACGCGGCTCGCGTCAAGCTCCGCCGTGAGACCCCGGTGGCCCCCGGGGAGGCCCAGCGAGGCGACCACGGCGTACCGCGGTTGCTGCCCTGGTGTCACGTCCGGTGGTTGGGGTATCCGCGGAGAATAGCTCACGCGGATACCTGTATTTGTCTGGTGGCCTGGAGTGCCACGGCGCGATGTCCTCCTGAGGTGGGGATGTTGAGAGGCGTCCGCTCGATCGAACATCCCCTTGCGAGCCGTGCGACGAACTCGTCGATTGACTCCATCCTCAAGTCTCGCGCTATGGTGGTGTTCCTGACGTAGCGGGGGCCCCCACTGCGCGTCGTAGACTGATGTTCTGTACGGCGCGCAGTCTCTGGCGGTGGGTCTCCTTTGTGTATGAGTACCATGCCGGTGCCGCGTACGTCAGGTGTGGGCGCACATATAATTTGTACAGCGCGAGCTTGGTTCGAAGAGGTATGTTGCCGTAGAGTAGGGGGTAGACCTTCTCCCCTTGCTCTCCCTCTGCCCTTTGACGTGGTGCCGCATTGTGAGTCGCCGGTCTATGGTGACCCCTAAATATGTGACCGGCGTCTTCCACGACACGTCCTGATCCAGGAATCGTAGGGGTGGCCAACATACTCTCCAATCCTCGTCTTCGTAGGGTTGGCGGCTAGTCTCCACTTTTCCACCACTCCAGGAGGTCCAGACCGTTGAGTTTCACCGCACGTGCTTTATGTTTAGCGATGTGGCCACGTACGCCTATCATCCCGTAGAGGGCCAGTCACCCTTCTGGCACGGACGTCGTCAGTATACGTGGCTCAAGATTGAGACAGCACCTCCTTGTGGTACACCCGCCGTGATAGTCGCGGCTACGCAGCCTCTCCCTCGCTACAAAAACGTGCGATCTTGAGAAAGCGCGGACCGGCGACTATGCGGCGGGCAGGGAGACCCAGCTTCAACACACCCGCCAACACGGTCGAAGCCTTTTCCATTCCACTGACGGCTGCGGCCGCGTTCTTCTTGTTCAGGGCCGTCTCATGAAGACACCTTCGTCACTCAACGTCGTGCTGTGCTCGCCCGGAACCAAACTGTTCGGGCCTTCTCAGGTAAGTTGGATCCTCTCACAGCAGCCTCTCGAACAGCTTCGACTCGTCAGAGAAGTGATGGGCCGGTGCTCTCAGGCGGTAGTCCTTCCCGGCTTCGGTATTGGATCACCTTGCCCTCTTTCCAGGTCTTCGGAAGTGGAGGGTCGAGGATTCCCTAGAGGCCCCACCACATCCCCTTCGCAGATGGCGCACCCTGTGTGTCCATCCGGTCCTGAGGCCTTCTTCAGCGCAGTCGTCGGACGTCTTCCGCACTACATGCGAAAAAGATCCCGTTCTCAGGTGGATCGGGCTCACACCGGCCTACAGCGCTCTCTACCTCAGCCACACGCGCAGGGATGTCGCGGTTTCGGCGAGAATTGGCGCTGGAGGTGTTCGGCAAATTTCGGCCCATCGGTGTCATTGTAGGTAATGACGCCGTTGCTGTCATACAGTGGACGCTTCGGCTCTGAGTCCGGTAAGACGGCGGCATAATTGGAAGAGGCGAGTAGGCTCTTATGGCCTCTCCCAGTGAGTGCTCCCACTGCGCCGCGCTTGTCGCCAGTTCGGCCTTGACACGCTCGGCGAGGCGGTTCAGCCGCGTCTTCAGCACTGGGCAGCGATGCGCTGCCACTGCCTCCTATGCGCGCTTCTGCTGGATCAGCCTTTGCACGTGGGGAGCGAGCTGGCGTATGACCTCCGGCGGACGCGTCGTGGTACTTCCGCCAGAGCCCCTGGAGTTCCGCGTCATGACTCCGCCATGTCGTCAACGGCGCCTGGTGTCATGTCCGGTGGGCCGGTGCAGGGTGTCTCAACATGACTCGAACGTTCCAGTCGGTGACCCTCAGGTGCGCGCAGGCGGGGAGGTGCCCCCCGACGTGCACAGCACTGGCTGGTGGTCCGACTGAATTCGTCCATCATACCTCCTGCCCGGTGGAGGCCAGGCCGGCTGTGTACCACCAAGTCTATGATGTCCGGCCTTGGGTGTCAATTCTTGGTATGTGTCGCGTCTTCTGGCCCGCACACGTGTAACCTCGGGTCTCGGCGTATTCGGTCGAACCCCCGCGGGCTGTTGGAGTACGAGTGCCAGCTGATGTGCTTGGCATTCCAGTCGCCCGCGAGGATTGTTGGCCTCTGGCTGAGTGTAGCCTCCAATTCGGCCGGGATGAAGTTATGGCCAGGGGGAGCGTAGATGGCCAACACGTCTGTGGGCTGGCCACCCAGTTCCAGCTCTACCCCTACGTCAGGATCCAGTGTGATTTGTGGCCTGATGGCACGATGAGGAATCCTCCTTCTAATCAGTACCGCCAGGCCACGTATGGGCGCCCCGTTGATCGCCTGGTGCTCTTCGCGGTAGGCGAATACCCCAGCACTCAGGCGGTCGGTGGACGCAATAGTCTCAATGACCCACATCCACTCTTGATCCAAGATTGACCAGGTGGTCCTTTTCCCCGAAGGCCTGCGGCGTTCCAGTGCAGGAGGCGTAAGTTCATCTTCTTTGTTTTCTTACGCCTCGACTGCGCCCCCGGCGTCCTGCATGATGATCGGACGGGGGCGGGTATAGGGCGCCCATTAATTCGTTGACCGCCCTGTCAACCGCTGCTGCGATCGCCGCCTCAATGGGAGGCGTTAGGCCCCCCAGTGGGCCCCCACTGTGGGGGCGTGCGGCTCGCTGTCCGGCGGCTCTGGTGGCTCCATCGGCTGGAGCGGAGTCGGCGGCGGCCCTACTGGGGCCAGCCTCAGCTTGCGCAGAAAACTCCGCGCGCGGGGGGGCGGGGGGTTTCAACCCCCCCCGACCTCTCCCACCTCTGGGGCGCCTGCGCTGACCTCGCAGGGGCTCCGCAGGGTAGGAGATGATGTCTACATCTCGATGGTACGAAACGTGCTGCCCATGGGCGCGCGGCTCAGCCTGCGCTTGCGTGCGCGGCTCGTCTCCATGCTTTGCGGGTGCAGGGGCAGAAGCGCCATGTGCGCCATGCGCGCCATGCGCGTCACGCGCGCTCTGCGCGCCATGCGCACCACGCGCGCCCCGCGCGCCACTTGCGCCAGGTGCGCCAGGCGCGCCAGGCGCGCCATGTGCGCCGCGCGCCTTCGAGGCGCCCATGCCCCGTGTGGTGTGTGCCACTGTGCCTGCGCGCTTATTGCGCGCCTCCTCCTTTAGCACAGGGCACGTGCTGTGGTTTGCCGGGTGCGCCCCTTCAGTTGACGCACTTCGGCGTTGCCCCTTTGGCAGGGGGCAATCTGTGGCGTGGTGTCCCTCCCCCACCTCCACAGGCTAAGGCCCGGTGGCATTGTCGAAGAGTGTCTAAATCCCTGGCACCGGTGACATTGGGCGGGGCCCCTTTTGCCCCCCAAGACTCGATCGTGACCCCGGTATACACGCAGTTCCTTGATGCCATATATAGCGGGGGGAGGCGGGGTGCGGCCAAATAACCAGGAAGATACACCCCGGTCTACCCTTCCTGGCGCGTATGGGCTGAGCATGTTCCGCTCAAACCCAGGTCACGCAGCTCTGCCATGATGGCCTCGGGCTCCGTGTCCGCCGGAACGCCCCGCACTGCCACCTTCAGCTGCCTCTCTGCTGGTAGGGAGTAGGAAAAGTAAACGACGTTGACGCCGCTACTCTCCAACTCCCCAAGGTACCGCTGCACCACACGGTACTCTTCCTCGTCTTCTGGGATGATTTTTCAGCCCCTCCCAAAAACCGCCGTTGACCGTGCGCCCGAGCCTTTTTTTCATCTCCCTGACATGCACCGTCCAGTCAGGGAGGGACTCGATCACAAACGGCGGATATTTCGGCTTCGATGCGGCGGGGGGCAGGGGTGCGAGGGGGGGCCGGCGGGCTACTGCCGGCGAGGCGGTCATCGCGGCGTATGAGTTCGCCGCGTCTTGCGGCGTCGACTGAACCGTCGCTTGTGGGGGTGCGGGAGGCACCGTGGTGGGCGTCGTGCCCATGGGCGGGGCGGTCGTCGATAAATCCGTGTCCGCCGTGACCTGCGGCTCCGTTTGAGCCGCCACTTGATGGGGTGCGGGGGGCGCCATGGTGGGCGTCATGCCCATGGGCGCATCCGCCAGGCGACGACGGCGCGGGTCTCTTTGAGACAACGGCGCCTGCGGTTGCGGCGGCATCAAATGTTGAGTCTCGGTTTTTGGCGGCGTCGTCAGTGCGCACACGCGCTTGGGCGCCGTCCCGGCGGCGTCCTCGTAAAAGTCCTGCGGCGGCGGGCGGCGTAGAGAGAGATTATGCGCTCGTCTCGCCTCAGCGAGCGCATTGTGTTCATCGCTAGATAACGGCGATGTTAAGACCCCCTGCTCCAGTAGGCGCCTGCGGGTTTGTGCGAGATATTCGCACATCGCTCTCGCGAGCCCGTCCGTTGCGTACCGGCCTATGATTGTCTGCGCAACAAAGAGCGTATCCATTTCATAGCCGGCCCGCGCGGATACGGGCTCGATGGCCCAGGTCGCCTTCTAGGTACGCGATCAACTCTTCGGGATCGCGCCCATGAGCAGGGTTGTCACCTTGGTAAGATAGGTCTGATAAATCTTTACTTACAGGATTTATTTGAGGTTGAGGTCGGTGCGGGGTGGCGACAAGGGCGCTCTCGTCGTCCGTATACCGCGACGAGAGCTGCGGCCTTAAATCGCCTCCGTGGGCACTTGAACTTTCACTTTCACTTAAGTTTACATTTAAATTTGCATTTAAATTTACATCCGAGGTTGTACGCAATATTCTGCGTTGGTCACTAATTTCCTCCGCGGGGGAGGGGTTGTGGGGGGCCGCTGCGACGGGGTATACTTCAGCCGTATACCGCGACGAGAGCTGTTCGTAAGAAATGTTTTTATTTACACTGTCTTCGGCTCCCGGTCCCAGGGCTCGATCGCTACGCGAGCGAGAGTCAAACCTGGGCCGGTCTGCCATGCGCGACGCGGGTGTAATTGTGGTTGACGACGGCGGCGGCGGCGCGGCTCCACCGCGCGAGCGGGAGCGTTCTTTGGCGCGCGGGCCAGACTCGTCGCGACGGGATCTTCGCTCCATTGCGGAGCTGGAGTCTGCCAGGCACAGCCTGGACACCTTAGTTTGGTCCGCGCATGCGCATCCCCCGGTGAGTCCCGCTGGTGGGAAGCCGGATAGGCGCACACTTTCCTTTACCTTAGTGCCGGCGTAATATTTAGTACAGGCGGCTCCCTCGTATGGTGTTTGTTATTATCTTTACTTAATAAAGATTTTAACAAAACGCGATAAAAGAAAAGGCTCGTGTGCTCAACCGGGTGGCAGACAGCTGTGCTCTCTCCCTAAAATATGGCGAGGCGGCTGATGGCTGGCCATGCGTCATACTCGTGAACGGGTGTTACTTGTGGTGACTGGTCGAACTTGAATTCGTGTATGCGGTGATGTTGGTTATTTTGACTATGTATTTGCGTGTTGTTCCCACGAGAATGTAAGTGCATGCTCCTATTTCACCATGCCTACTGCTGATAAAGGACAAATCTTTGTTTTGAATTTTTTTTATTTGATTTTTTTTTTTTTTTTATAGAACGGGGGGCAAACGGGCAGGAGGCTCACCTGATGTTAAGTGATACCGCCGCCCATGGACACTCTCAATGCCAGAGGGCTCGCGAGTGCGTTGCCGGCCTTTTAAGAATTGGTACGCTCTTTTCTTGAAGGACCCTAAGTCGAATTGGTTCGGGAATACTTCAGTGGGCAGCTGGTTCCACATAGTGGTGGTGCGCGGCAAAAACTGCCTTGAAAAACGCTCAGTTGTGGAACGTCGGACGTCGAGGTGATACGGGTGGAATTTCGTATTCTGCCTCGACGTCCGAAGATGAAACTCAGCTGCAGGTATTAATCCGAACAACTCCTCTGAACACTCTCCATGGTAAATGCGGTAGGAGATGCAGAGTGACCCCACATCTCTACGCAACGCCAAAGGATCAAGCCGCTCGGAGAGGGATTGGTCGTCGACGATTCGAACCGCTCTGCGTTGTAAACGGTCAAGTGGAAGGTGCTGGTACTGGGGAGCCCCCGCCCAGAGGTGAGAGCAGTACTCCATGTGGGGCCGAATTTGCGCTTTATATAGTTGCATGCGGTGGCCCGGAGTGAAGTACCGTCTCGCCTTGCTGAGCACACCAAGCTTTTATTAACACGTTCGGTCCAGCAACGTCTCATGACGTTAATTTTAGAAATTCATAATTGACACAACGTTTAATCACGTCGGCTTTTAATTTCTATTTATTCACACTACGTTCCCTAACGTCGGGGAGTCAATACGATATTCAACTAAATAGATATTTGCGCCGCATCACTTGGAAGTTTCAAAAGTCTACCGCCGCAGCAAATCAGTCTTTAGGAACGTTTTGCGAAAATCCGTTACACTCGCACATATTCACATACGCACACACAGAACGTTGGTAGGCGTCACGGGAAGTAGGGACGCGGCTAGCTTCAGTCATTTTGCGCCGCATCAAGAGAAGCTCTTGGTTCGCGTACATCGCTCGACCGAATTAAAGTTTCGAAACAGTAAGTTTTGTAATACATTTATTTATTTTAGATTAATATTCATAAATAAATAACTATTATATATTTATTTTAAAGTAACCAAAAATCGATTGTTTTAGATGAATAAAAAGCGACTATGCCGTAAGGGGTTTCTGAAGGTATTTGAAGATTCTTCGTCCCGGAAGTTACTCCAGATCCCTTCAGTGATGACGGAGAATACGGAAGTGGCATGGATTATGATCCAGAACCTATAAAAACTGATAGCGACAGCCCACTTAGCTACTCACATTCTTCCTTTTCTGAGAATTTTCTACACTCAAGTAGTTCTGAAAGTATTATCGATACCAGTGTTCGCAATAGGCAAAGAAAAACTACTTCACATAAACAAACGAACAGTACAGATAGGTACGAACGATGCAGATACTATGTCCATGGAATCTCTTCCTGGTTATGGTAAATAATCGAATACTTTGTGACATAGCGTTATATAACGTCGACGTCTATTAACGTTGTTGTCGAATCAAAACTTATGCTTGCATACATGAAGAACACAACGTTAAGAAACGTCATTCCAATTTGTATGAAAAAATAGTGTGTCGCGACGCGAGACTCTTTTTACGGCGGCGCTGGGCCGAACGTGGTAATTAACTAATAGTTACATAAGATGTCATGAGGAACATGGTGTAATGGTTGCAGCTCCTTACAAACGTTGTGTACAACAAAAAACTTGGCGATTAAAAAGAGTGGCGGAGAGTTTATTGCCAGATGTTCCCATCCGTTCTACGTCCTTGATTTGAGAACTGGCAGTATATGTAAAATTAGAAGCATGTAGCATTTAATATTTATTTCTTTATTGACGTTCATAAGTGTACATAGTGTTACCTAAATGAATAAATGATTTAGATTTTTTTAAATTATGTCAGGAGTGTATATCTATAGTAGTGTATAATGTACGTATATATATTAGTAAGCAGCACTAGATAACTGAATATATGAGTCATTGAGAACTAAGAACCTGATAACTCTACGGATCCCTAAGCACTACAGTGTTACATACACATAAGTAATGAATATAAATAAGCGCGGGATCTGCACCAAGAGACTTCAGATAACGAGCGGAGCCCTACTGGTAGGATCAGAGGTTCAAGTTGGTAGAATTTTCTTAAAGCTATCGGTAGGCTCATCACATCTTTGAGAGAAAGCAAAGAATTAATAAGTCAGAATTACTGTTTGAATATTGGTTCAAATTTGATTTTGCAGATTGATTTTGTTTTTTTTTGTAAATTTATACTAAGTACAAATATTCACACATACACAAGATTAATCTTGAAAATTATCGGTGAATTGCGCACCTTCAGCTAAAAAGTTGGGACAACAGTGTCAGCCCTTTTAGAGGTGGACCAATGCTCAAATGAATTCAGAACAACGTATTTATATACTTAAAAAAAAAAAAAAAAAAGTGTTATTTAGACGGTGACCTAATTTAACTTTTGCCTAATTAAGTAGAAGCTGTCAGGATATGGTTAATAATTTTGTTCTGTGGAGTCACTTGTGTCTGCGAAACAGTTGTATAAAAACACACATATATAGGATGTGTGTGGGATACAATCTAAATAAGAGGCTTATAGAATCTTTTGTTATATTTCCCACACAGCAGTAACGGGAAATTATTTTCTTTCATAGATGTCATACCCATGACTTCGTTGAAACTGTCAAGTATATTTAGTGCGATGTATATGGACTCAATAAATAGAGCAATACAAATGAAAGGTCTTGAAGTCAGGAAGACTCAAATAAAATTAAGAACCTAAATCCCACGGTTTTAGATTCTAAATTTTATTATTATTACAACTATATAACGAACAATTACAAAAACTTCGCTGTTAGCATAAATTTTATGTAGGTATTTATTTATTTATTAATATAAATAAATTAGGTAATGCGGTTTGTTCCGGCTTTCCAAGCCTGGATATAAATTTAAATGTTTAGGAAAATAAATGACCCATGCAATCAGCGATAATTTAGCATTCTTTTAGTAAAATAAATTCTACATTGAACCAGTAGTTTTTGAGTTTGTTCCTTTCCAATATACAAAATTGCAAATGTTTCATCTTTATAAAATTAGCATAGATTTATTTCAAATGAAATAGTACTATATTAGTTGATAAACATTAACATTTGAATCCCGGCCAGTAAATGTTCGCAATTACTTGCTCGCAACGTAAAAGTAAAATAAAAATCGTAAAATATCGTGAAAAACCTGCATAACCTAAAAATCAACATGTCTGGCACAGAATCACATACTAAAACCACATAATAAATCAATACAAGAAATGCCTAGAAGTACAATAAAAAGATTTTATGAACCCTTAGGAGCTCGAAATCACTTTCGAAAATATAAAATCAAGTCACGATCGGCATTATTTCCGTGGTTGGCCAAATAAAGGAATATACAATTCTACTTGGTTGGGCCAAGTGTATAATTAAAATATTTTGTGTGTCACGTCCCGGCATAATGGCCTGGTCTTAAAGAAATACAGTATTTCCTATTTTATAAGAATTCACAGGATCCTTTGTGGTCAAACAGGACAAACTTATTTCTACTGATTATTTTTTAAAGCCTTTGAACTGGTAGTAAGTGTAAATTTAGAACCTTAGTTTTTAAATTATTTATAAAGTCATAAATGTAGGTATATTTGGCAGTGTCATTTAGAAAATACCATTGTGTTTTTCAACATTTTTAAGGACAGGTCATCCCTAAATTAACACGGACAATGGGGATGTCCTTGCGTCTCTTTTATAGATTACTTTTAGAATACGTTTTTAGCACGCTGACGATTCAAAAAACTCCTGGAAT